CAAATTATAGGTATATGGCAGTCTTTTAAATGCTTTTTTTAATTTAAAGAAATGAGGAAAAGACCAGTTTGGATTTGGCAGACTAATTCAGTTTAGTTAACCGAAGGCTGTAACTACTCAAGGTATTTCTCGTCTCCTTGAATTCACATTTGGTAAACGAGACCTCCAGTGGAGGCCACCTTGTGACCACACTTGAAGATTTCTTTGTTGATTTGTGACTGTGGCTACTTGAAATGAAGTTTTATCTGGGGTTGGTTGACAAATGGTAGATTTACAATGTCTCAAGGCAATAGGACTTGTGTATTAAACTGTAGATAACCTTAGTACAGTAAATCTATGCTGATAATTTTATTTTGTATAATTTCCCTGTATTTTTTCTTTCATACTTTTTCCCCATCAGTGTCTTGGCAAATTTATTTCTAGGATGCTAAAAATGGCAAGTATGGATCTTTCTTTTTTTTTAATTTGTATTTTATTATGTTACACAACCAACTGGTTTGTGAAATGTATTATTCCGGATATCTTTAAACTATTGTGGGTGTTTTAATAAATTTTATATTTATTTTTTGCACTCAAATTCAGTGTGTTTTTCTCCCAAACGCAACTTCCATGGGGTTCATTCACTCATATTTTACACAAAATCCACAGAAGGTCGTAACTAATTTTTCGAGCTCCGCTCTCATTTTTTCTCCTTTCCTGACAAAGCCCAACTCCCTTTGAGAAAGAATGAATCCACCAGTCGTGCCCCTCTGCATACGTGCCTGGGTTCATGTCCACGTGTAGAGCCCTCCCACTCCACCGAGATTGCCATGGACGGGAGCACCATCACCCGGCGTACCAAAATTCTGCATCCAGTTCTGCAGAGATCAGCCGCTGCTCCGTCCTCTCGGTACAGAACCCAGGGCTTGACACTTAGGGGTTCCTCCTGGGAGCCTGCAGGGTCACTGCACTGGGCAGGAAGAGGCAAGCATCTTGAAGAGACCAACGTGCTGTGGGGCCCGGTGGCTGCACATACCAGATCAGCCTTGACATGAGATGACTCCTCGGTGACTAGATCTGGGAGAAATGGCCTCTCAGGAAATCTTCGACAGCAGCAAGAGATGTAATCAGGAGGGGAGTCAGAAGGTCACATCAAAGACCCTGGGAGGAACATGTTGCTCACTCCTAAAGAAAGAGTCCTACAGCCATATATCCCTTTGCTGTTATGTAAAAAGGGACAGTACACCCTTTCCAGACATTGGAGAAAAAATGATTGTGTCTTATCCTAAGCTGGTAGGAGTGGAAGCGTTTAAGCTGTTGGACCCTGAACTGGGACTTCCAGCAATGGTGTCCTCAGGATCTGACTCCTGCCATGCCATCTACTTCCAGCCCCACTCCAGGTGTAAGCTGGAGGAGGATAAGAGGATTATCCCTTTAGGGACTCCCCTCCTTAAGAAGGACATTCAGGGTACACTTTGTCCAATCCTAAACTTTAATAGGGCTCACCTACTCTGCTAAGCTGTAATGTGATTTGATCTTGGCTTACTCTGTTGTGCAAATAGAGGCCTTTAAATTTAGATTACATCTTAGTGGGTTGCATGAACACAGCCATTGTTTTATTTACTGATAGCACTGTAACGTCCTTGACTCTATCTGTAGTTAAACAACTATACAATGTGCAAATCCAGCCAGTGATGCTATCTTGCTGTGGTGTTGGAGTCCTGTAATGGACAAAGGTCCTTTTAATCACAGCCTTTGTAAAGCTTATTCCTCTGCTTGGCCACTTTTTATTTTTATTTTTTTATAATAACTTTATTAAATTTTAAAAACAGAAAGATAAAAACTAACAACAACTAATAATCAAGAAAGAATAGAAGAAAAAAGAATAAAAAGAACAGAAGTGCAGAAAAATAAACAGGAATACAGAAAAAGAATGACTTCCAACTTCTTTCACAGCAGATATAAATAAAACATACATTAAACTCTTACTCTAGGATTACAATTTAGCATCCATTTTTTCTATAATCTATTAACTTTACTAATCATCAAATCCATATACCATAATTTCATTTTTTTCTGTTTTCTGCAAACAGTCCAAAAGGGGCTTCTCCAATTAGCATTAAAATTAGTCAATGTCTTTTCTCTAATCAGAGCTGTCAATTTCGCCATCTCAGCTAGCTCAATCAACTTTACCATCCATTCTTCCATTGTAGGTAATATCAAGTCTTTCCAACTTTGAGCATATAAAAGTCTTCCTGGAGTTATCATATATAAAAACAGAGGTCCATGAGATTTTTCCAATTGTGTATTCATCAGCCACAAAAGAGATGTCTCTGGTTTTGATTGCATATTAATCTTCAAAATCTTCTGAATTAATATATGTATTTGAGTCCCAATTTTTTTAGCTTTATTACACGTCCATCAAAGATGATAAAAAGTCCCTTCTTGTTCACATTTCCAACATATATTTGAAGTCCCTTTGCCCATTTTTGACAATCTTTCTGGTGACAGATACCATCAATATATCATTTTATAAAAATTCTCTTTACGATTATAACATAACGTAAATTTCAACCCTTTCATCCACATATTTTCCCATTGTTCCATTTGTATATTATATCCAAAATTTTTAGCACATTTTATCATACAATCTTTAACTTGTTCATCTTTTTCAAAACGTAAATTTCAACCCTTTCATCCACATATTTTCCCATTGTTCCATTTGTATATTATATCCAAAATTTTTAGCACATTTTATCATACAATCTTTAACTTGTTCATCTTTTTCAAATCTCAACAAAAGTTGATACATTTTAGCACTAAGATGTTCGTCATTACTACATAACTCAATTTCAAATACAGTTTTATCACATTCAAAACGATGTCCTTTTATCAACTTTAAATCTTTCTACTAATTGTACATGTGAAAACCACTGACATACATCCTTCTCATATCAAGTCTTCTCTTGATTTTATTTTAAATTCTCCCTGGTAAAAATTTAAAATGTCATCATAAGTTAGCCATTTCTGCTTAATTACCATTTCTCTTCTATAATATGCTTCTTGTGGTGATAGCCATAAAGGCATTTTTGTACACAATATTTCTGCTTAATTACCATTTCTCTTCTATAATATGCTTCTTGTGGTGATAGCCATAAAGGCATTTTTGTACACAATCTAGATTTATATCTATTCCAAACTCTCACAATGGCACATCTAATATAACCTTAACTTTGTCATGCCACAAATAGCTGTGCCACCCAAATCTCAAATCATGCCTTTCCAAGTCCAACAATCTTCTGTTTCTCAGCGTCACCTACTCTTGCATCCAGACTAAACAAGCTGCAAAGTAGAGTTTCAAATCAGGTAAAGCTAAACCACCTCTTTCTTCGGCATCTTGTAACACCTTGTATTTAACTCTTTTTTTTTTTTTGCCTTGCCACACAAATTTAGATATATCTTTCTCCAATTGTTTAAATAGTAAATCAGTAGTCAAAATCGGTATTGTCTGAAACAAAAATAACATTCATTTTATCACACAAATTCTTCCCAGCAATGACAGTTGTAGTTTCTCCCATCTTAACATATCTTTTTTAACTTCATTCTTGTCTTAATATAATTATTCTGAAACAACATACAATTCATATTTGTCATATTAACACTCAAGTATTTTACTTTTTTCTTGATCTTGAAACCTGTTTTGTTCATCAATTCTATTTGATCTTGTATCTTCATATTTTTTGTTAACATCTTTGTCTTTTTATTAATCTTAAAACCAGCTAATGCCCAAACTCCTTTAATTTTCTCATTCATAGTTCTATCCCTTTCAACGGCTCTTCCAACACCAACACCAGATCATCTGCAAAAGCCCTCAATTTGCATGTCTTTCTAAATTTTTACACCCATTATCCTCTCATCTTGTCTTATGTCTCTGTTCAAAACTTCCAAAACCAATATAAACAAAAGTGGGGATAATGGACATCCTTGTCTTGTTCCTTTTTGAATCTCACATGGTTTTGTTAAATTTCCATTAACAATAATATGTGCTTTCTGTAGTGTATACATTGATTTAACTCATTTTATAAAGTTCTCTCCAAAATCCAATCTTCTAAAACTTTAAACAAAAAGCACCAATTAAGGTTGCCAAAAGCTTTCTCTGCATCCAAAAAAAAAACACTTGTTTTTTATTATGCTGTACCAAATATTCTATAATGTCTAATACTGTTCTAACATTATCTTTTAGTTGTCTTTTAGGTAAAAATCCACATTGGACTTCATGAATAAAGTCTTATAAAACCATTTTCAGTCTATCCGCCAACATCATTGTAAATAACTTATAATCACTATTCTGTAATGATATTGGTCTATAATTTTTGGTTAAGTTTAAATCTTGTCCCTCTTTAGGTATTACAGCAATACTAGCTTCTTTCTAAGACCTTGGCATCCCATCTCCTTGTAAAAATTCTTTGTATTCTGAAGAGGTTGTAAAATTTCATCCTTATTATAAAAAACATTTATAAGAAGACCCTGGTAATCCATTCGGCCCAGGTGCTTTTCCTGGCTTGATTTTTTTATGGCTTCTGAAACTTCCATTATTGTTACAGGCCCATTCACAGTCAGTCTTTGTATATCTGTAAGCCATGGTAAATTTTGCTGTTTTAAATAGTCATCTATTTTTTCCAGAGAAATATCCTGTCCTTTGAACAAATTAGAATAATACTGACAAAAAGCTTTTTGTATAGCCATGTTACCTGTTAAAACCACATCTCCCTCCTGAAGCTTCAAAATCATCCTCTTTTCTTTCTCCTCTCTTAATTTATAAGTTAACCATTTCCCTGGTTTATTTGCAAATTCAAAGTTCTTTTTAGCATAGTTCATTTTAGTTTCCATTTCTCTTACTGTTATCATGGATTGCTGTTGCTGTAGAGGTTTAATTTGATACGAAATACTTGTCTTTGCTGGCAATTTCTTTAATTCTTCCTCTTAATCTCCTGCAAAATAGCCTGTATTTTCTCTTGTGCTTTCCCCCCCCCCCCAATTATTATGTTGAATAAAATAGCCTCTAATAAAAGCTTTGCTTGAATCCCAAAATGTTCTTAAATCCATGCTTTTGTTTAAATTGTTCTCTACGTTTTTTTTGAAATCCATATCATACTTATTCTTGAAAACAATCCATGCCTTTCTGAAAAATAAGTATATTCTCTGGAATTGCCATTTTTTTTGTCTCTGTATGCCCACTAAAGTTATCCATCAAATCAAAAAAAGTCTTTTGTAATTTACCTTGGGTATTTTTAATTTTCTTCTCAGATGTTCTGCCTAACTGTGGAGAGACTACACCATTCCAGTCTCCCATCAAACACCAATTCTGATATGAAAGGTTTATCAATTGTTCCATAAGTCAATTATAAAAATTTCCTTTATCTTCATTTGGAGCATAAAGTCCCAAAACAAAAGTTTTAAGTCCTTGTAGTTCAATTTCCACCCCCACATTTCTGCCATGTTGATTAGTCAATATTAATAGTGGTTTTAGATGGGGGTTAATGTATAAAACAACTCCATTTTTTTTCGGTCCTGTCTTCTCCCAAATTTTTACAAGTTAAATACTTCATGTCTTTATTTCCAATGAGTCTCTTGCAGACAAATTATATCTTGTTTTAATTTTTTCAGATGGTGAAATAATGTTTTCCTTTTTCTGAGGGGAATTTGCCCCATTTATATTCCACATTAGACATTTATAATCCATGGTTAAATGAATAATTCAGAAAAGTCTATACCAGTAGCATCTAACTCCAAGTCATCTTTTGCAAGCTCCTTTTGTCTGTTGTGATTTTTGGTCAGTTTTCTCTGCAATTTCCCTTTGAACCTCTTTTAAGTCTCCTTTACATTTTTCCAAAAGTGCTCTAGCCTTTTGAACAAAATGCAATTGAAATCTTCTCTGTTGAAAAGTAAAAGTTACACCTTCTATGTAAAATTCTAATAGGGATTTCTTTTAAAATAATTATATCTGCATTATCAATATTCAATCTAGAATTAAAATGCTGTTGCAGAACTTGATCTCTTGTCCTTCTCCTTATAAAATGCACTAAAACATCTCTTGGCACATGTCTTATTGTGGCAAAACATTAATTAATGCAACACACTTTGTCAATCTCCTCTCCAGTCTCCTCCTCTTCCCAGTCTAAAAAATCCAACAATGCCTGGATCACCTTTCTCCTGATATCTTCCTCTGGAATGGCTCTAAATCTCAAACAAAATTATTTCTAAGTTCCAACCGAGCCAAATTATCCATTCCTCTTTCAAATTCTATATCTCTAATTCCTGATTTATTCTCTAAGATTTCTATTGTATCATTAGTTTGTTTTATTTCTCCAGACGTTTGTTTCATATCTGTAGACATTTGTTTTACAAAAATATCCATCTTATCCAATCTTTCTTCCATCTTTTTTTCAAAAGTCATAAATTTAGCATCTAATTTAGTGTCCACTCACTGAGCCAGTTTAGCTCCTAATTCATCAAACATTGACTTAATTACACTAGGTTTATCTTCTTTATCTTTCCTCTCTGATGGCTGCTCCGCAGAGGCTCTCCTAACATCCAATCAGGTTCTACGTGTTGCCATTATAGCAAAATCAAAAAAGTAGAATTGTAGATCGGAAAAGGGAAGGAAAAAGAAAAAGAAAAAAAAAATCTTTTAAAACTGTAATTGCAGGCAATTACCAGCAGGCGTCTCCACTGAAAACAGGCTCCGCTGAAAAATAGGCCAGGCTGATTACTGTGCTCTTTTGAGATATGATCCCGGCCAGTTATCAGGTCCGTTAAAATAAAACAAAAAGCATTCCCATGGAAGAAAAGAGTCCCATTAAAGCAGTTACGGTTTTAACAATGCAGATCCATGAAAAATTAAACTTTAAAAAAAAATTAAAAGAAAGATTTCCCCTTTCTCCGTTGTTAGCTTTATCACTTTAATTATCCAGCTTTTTGCAAAGTTTTCAATGATGTAATTACTTAAAATCTCCAGATCTTCCCAAACTTTATCGTCCCCCCCCCAAATGACAAAACTACCAGAAGAAATACTTATCTGCCGAAAAAAGGAGTCTCTCTCAAACTGGAGGATAATCATAATCCAGAGGCGCTACAGAAATGGGGTTGGCCGCGTCCAGCTGCGCCTCAGCCTCGTCTCCCAGCCGCTCGCAAGAACTCCCGTTCTTGCAATTTGCTCATGAGGGACGGCCGTCCGGAGACGAAATAGGCTGATTCCAGGCCTGCCCCTTTATCCGGAGGAGGAAGGCGCCCCGCAACGCCCGCCGCGGGGCCGCCGCCGCCGCCTGAGATGCTCGAGTTGCCCGGCGTCGCCCGGCCGCCTTTCGGAGTCCAGTCCTGGCCCCCCAGGAGAGCAGATGCAGAGGCTCAGATCCGCGGTGTGTGAAGTCGCAGTGACTCAGGGTTAAGCAGGTTAATAGTGCTCAGACAAGGTTCATTTGCACCAGTCTGCTAAGCAAGCCGGGTTTGCATACTGCTGTAAACAAAGCCAAACCAATCGTTTTATGGCTAAGTATTTTAACTGGCAATTAAAAAATAACCACAATAAATCACAGGAGTTCATTAGATGGAAGAGTCTTAGAACTGGGGATCTCCTCAGAACTGCAACTGTGAGCCTGTGGCCCTCAGTCAACTGGGATGAGAGAACAGCATTTTGTTTATGCAACAACCTAAACTGCATGATAAATAAATCTTGCATATTATCGGACCCAGATCTTGGCCCCTGAAAGACAGGATTTAATGTGTTCACTTCTTAGCCTGGCTGCCCAGATCCAGTGTGAGGCTTTAAAGCCGCTGAACAGGAGACGCGAAGCAAGAGGGACTGGATTGCTTTTGCTCATTTTTTCACACAGCCACAGGGGGGTAAGATGTGTGGATGAGAAATGGACGCCCGATGGGGAAGGGGAGGGAAAGAATGGGCCAGGCGCCTGCCTGCCTAAGGGTGACCAGTCAGGGTCAGGTCTGTCCTATTCAGGGCACGAGGGCCAAGAGATCCATCCTCTCATGCAATCCCATTTCATCTGATTTTAGCCCTGTCATTTATTTTCCATCACAACTGAACAAGAAAAGGTTTCTCGTTGTAGCGTCCACCCCTTCCCCGATCTTAACCCCCACCCCTTCTGCCAACAGCTGTAGCTGAATTGATAACCACCTTTCCACGGGTCCTCCGGATGCCAGTCAAGTCCCCTCTCAAATTCATCTTAGTATTTCAGACTCTAAGCAATCCCTCCCCTTAAAAACACAGTCCTTTAAGGGTCTTTTAAAATTCATTTTGAATATTGTCAATATGTCTACTTACAAATCCAAAGGGAGCAAGTTACTAAATACAGCTGGATCTGATGTGGTGTCTACGACAGGCAGTTTGCAGGGACTGTTTCCGCCACCTGAATAGCATATTGCGAGGGTGGCTTTTCACTACGATGAGCAGGCAAAATCATCCTGAGAGAGAGTTCTGAACCAAACACAGGCAATGCTCCCTTGAAGCTAACGGTTAGCCAGTCCGTCTGGGCTGACACAAGCTAAGACAAGCCCTAACACAGTTTGTAGGCTTGAGCAGCGAATTCTGTCCTGTCCTCGGAATGTAGCAGAATTGGTTTATGAAAAAGCATATTTATGGGGGTCATGACACCCCACCCTGCAGGGCCTGTTTGACTGCCCACCCCAGGCGACTGACTGATAGAGCCAGTTTCGTTTCAGAGGGAGCTTGGGCCTCCCTGAGGGTTGGTTTGGCTGAGGCCCTGGTCATGGCCTGGCACGGGCAGGAGCCCGAGCCCTTGGACTGTATTGCTCCCATGTGGCCTCTGTTGGGTGGCGATCCCAGGGTGCACCTTGGTCCATCGAGGAGCTTCAGGAAGTGAAGCACAAGAAGAGACAAAAGGACCGTCATTGGAGGAAGATGAAGAGTGAAGCGAAGCATGAGTAGGGATTACATCACAGTGATGTGGGTAGCGAAGCGTTCTTATTTCTCCACCTCCTTACTGCATCTACCAATTGCAGTCTAGCAGACCCGGTCCCTGGAGAGGAGGAAGAGGCCACGGGATCAATCACCTCCAGCAGTGGAGTTGAACTCAAACAGAAACAGAGGCCGCTGAACCGTACATAAGGATCCCTGCAGGTTGCAGACTGACTTGGAAAACCACACACTTATATATTTATTAATTTTTATGAATACAACAACATGTTAAACTCAAGTAGGAACTAGATATCACTAATACATAAAAAAGAAACATATTATTATGAATTTAACTTTGTTTTCAATATTTGTGTGTGTGTATATCTCTACATATCTGTACTTATCTCCCCACCACCCCACTCTGAGCTTCCTCCTGGTCTACCACCAAATGATTGTGAAAACTGGTCCTCCCTGCAATGTTCCTGTAACTTCTGACATGCCAGGTGCAGAAAACACTGTTTTGTGCAGCTTTTTCCAAGCCAAATACAAATTTGTACACCACAATACAAGAAATAGGAGGAGGAAGGAGTATTTGGTACATTTGCTGCCTTGAGTTATTTACAAAAATAATAAAGGTGGGATTAAAAAAAATTGCAAATCCATGTTACAGTGACATGTTAAACCCAGTAGTTCTTCCTAACAGTGGCAGAACTGGCTGCCCCAGGGCCCCCCGGCCAGCTCTGTGTCCAGGCAAGACCAGAACTCACCCTCTCCTGGTTTCCAGTCTGATGCCTTAACCACTGGCTCCACACATATATGCTTACAGGTTATAATATAAACTCACCAGTTACTGATAACTGCAATCAACATTTTGTAAGCATTTAAATGTTTTTATTTAGAATCTGATATTATAAAGAAAGAAAAAATTAGAAAAAAGAAAAAAGCATTATACAAAAAGCATTTAGATCACCTCCTCCCTTTCATTTTCCCCTCTTCTTTCCTTCTTCTCTGGATATATTCTGAACTTATTTAAACTTCTGAACTTATTTAAACTTCTGAACTTATTTAAACCTTATTATTAACTTAAAAATTGAAATTTTTATAACTTTAACAACGATCATGGTCCTCATGCAGCCCAAAACTCAACAGATATTAATCAAACCTTTTTTTTGGAGGGAGAACAGAAATTAATTTAACATGTTTTGGAAAGAGATGCTTCTTCATGCAATGGAGGTTCTGGGTTTCAGAGCAGGCCAACTCCCAGCACAAGGCTGCCTGCCCACTGTCCAGGGAAAAGGCATAAGCTCCTTGCCTTGGCTGAATTGCAGCAATAAGGTTGCTTGGTGCTGCTGCTGCTGCGCAGACTGAGAGGAAACTCTTGTCATGTGGCATCTGCACCATGGCAGAACCAAGCAATTCATGCTGCTGCAGTTAAGCCAAGACAGTGAACTTGTGCAGGACTCCCTGCAAGTCATGAGCCTGGAGTTTTATGTTGGTTGGTGACTAAATTGATTATTATTTAGTTTTAAAATGTAATATTATCTTTGTTTTATTGTATTTTAATTTTACTTTGTTAAATATTTCCCAATTGCATTTTAATTTGGTTTGGACTGCCCCTCTGATTACCAAGGAAATGGACAGGGTTTTCCAGTTGATTAGCTTGGCCATCTTTTTGTTAGATCCAGGTCTCTCCTAGGCCACCTGGGAGGTGAGGGAGGGAGGGAGGTAGGGAGGTTAAGGCCACCTGGGAGGTGATCTGTGGTGAGATCCATGTCATGGTGTCAGATTCTTTGAGGGAGGGGTTGGCCCCCTCAACCTTAAAGGGGGCTGTGATGAGCACTCTCCTCAAGGAGACACTGCTGGACCCAACAATCCTGGACAATTATCATCCATTCTCCAAATGTCCCTTTCTTGGAAAGGTGGTAGAGGATGGTCAGGCTTCAGCTCCAGAGGAACCTGGAGGAAGTGGGTTATCTGAACTAGTTTTGGTCAGGTTTCAGGCTGGGGTTTAGTACAGAGACAGTGTTTGTCACGTTTGTTGATGACCTGTGGCAGAGTAGGGGCAGGGATGGTGCATCCATTCTCGTGCTTTTTGATCTCCCAACACTTTTGATACCACTGACCATCGTATCCTTTTGGACTGGTTTCGGGGGCTGGGAGGGTGAGAGGCAGTGGTTCTCCTCCTTTCTCTGTGACAGATTCCTATCAGTGTTGACAGGTGGGAGAGACTGTGCCCATGGCCCCTCATTTGTGTAGTGCTGCAGAGTTTGACATTCTCTCCCCTTCTGTTTACATGAAACTGCTGGGTGAGGTCATCTGCCACCTTGGGGTCAGG